TATATATATTCGTTGAAAATGTCCTGAGGACAGGACGAAATATTCGTGCCAAAATAATGTTCCTATATCAAATGTGTATGTTTTTTTTTTATCGTATGAATGTCTATATTTACTTATATTTCGTTGGGAACATACGTGCTGCTTGCTTACCATCTTATTGATGCCTACTTAATTCAAGTAAAGAAACGCTGTGTTCTTGTTTACAAACACCTTAGTGAGTGTAATGTCGGTTTGTTATACCGTTACGTAATTTGTTTTTAATGTAATAATTTTAAATAAATTGAAAATTGAAATTGAATATTTCTTTTACGCTTAAATGTAATGATGTTTTATTACCTTGTGCTGTAATTAACGACATTGCCATAATAATTTAATTGAATTGATTTAATTTTGTATAGATGAGTTTGTTTAACATATCAAAGTTGCTATAGGCCTATTCATCGTTAGGCCTATCAAAAATGTTGATAGATACAGAATATTGGAAAATAAAAACATTGAATAATGTTTGATCTCAAAACTAGTGGCAGATTTGAGGAATTATATTCAAATTTTAAGTTTTAGAGTGGCATTTCCGGCCGCCTAGGGGTGCCATAATTAACATTTTTCCTAACCCCAACCATGGTGGGGCTGAGGTAATATCGATCATCTCTGAAGGTACCTCTATGCCCCCCCCCCTCTCCCAATTTCCTGGACTGCCACAGAAAAAAGTGTTTACTACTGTTCATATTTCATCTTCAAAATCTGTTAAGGCCTCAAAATATCCCCATTGTGGTTCACTTTCCACAAATTCGCACTCATCCTATAAAAATCCTGCGTAGAGGCCTGCGTATTCCTAATGTGTCTTTGGTTTTCTTTATTTACTTCATCATTGTCTTTGTTATCGTTTCTTATTTCTCTTCACACATTGATACCGTCTGAATTCCTTCACCAACCTTTTTTTCCCCTTTCATTCTCCTGTTTAAATGCACTTCTTTGTCTCTTAAGAAAGTATAATACATACTCCAAGTATTGAAATGCACGCCATCGTGTTGGGATTCAATATTTCGACATTAATTATGTCATCATCAGGAAATCATCCCTGATGATGACATAATTAATGTCGAAATATTGAATCCCAACACGATGGCGTGTATTTTAATACTTGGAGTATGTATTATACTTTCTTATCTGAGATTAATCAGTGGACCTTTCGGTCTTTGTCTCTTGTTCTCTAAAGTCTAATACTGTATAGCCACCCTGAACTTAATTTAATATAATAAATGGGTCAATCGATTGGATTGGATTTATTCGGTGTAAACACCAAGGATAGTCTATAGAAAAGGACGTTCGAGTAGGGTCTTTCTGGTGGTGATTGGCAGTACACCAGGAAACAATCCCGTACTCTTTTCCAAAGAGTGTACTGCGTTTTTTAACGTGCATAATTATGGCCCATAAGTGCACATGGGGCCCATAAGTGCACATGGGACCCATAAGTGCACATGGGACCAACGGCTTAAACGTTTGTTTTTCTGACAAAAGTTTTACCATCGTAAAAAATGTGTTAACACTGAAGGAGTTGAGAAACTAAGTTTAAACTTTATACTAACAATATGACATCTGTTATTTCCATTCGTTTGGACACGTACAATAAAGAAATTTGTATCTTGTATAATGATGATGTGTCTGTGTACTGGTATAAATTTCATAATCAATATTAAGTGTCCACGGGATCATCCTGTCTGTCAAAGTACCCCAATTTCAGGTCATAACTGAAATACCGTTTGGAAATTGAAGCTGAAGGAATTTTTAGATTTTTGTTTTTCAGGAAAATCCAAGGAGGTTCACATGGGAACTTTAAATTTCTGGCTGATTTGAGCTGGAATGACTCAAATATATAATAACAATAATTATTTTATTATTAACATTATTATTATTAGGTTATTATTGCAATCAAAATTATTGTTTTTAATTCCCTTTTTATTTAATGGTAACATGATGGCGTGAATATCTAAGGCAATGCTTGCAATAATCTGGTAATCGGTTGTATGAATATAAATCTGAAAAAACAAAGCCTAAATGTTTATCAATTCTTGATTCTTTATTTATAATTTTGAAAAGAATTAGGGCCCCTGGCCGGCTCCCCATCCACCACTGACGATTTTATTATCACCAATCAAACTCTAATCTTAAGTATCTACTCATTTACTTTCTTGCCCCTTCGTATTGGTCCTGATTTTTCAAAAATCTCTTCTCATAAGTGTAATTAAGATATTTGTTAAGATTTTTTTTTTTTTTTTGATGATCCGAAATATTTAAAATAAATATGTTAACTCGCGTTTTATTTTCGAGCTTTCGCTGGTTTTCAACACAGCTTAATCATGAACGAGTCCATGCACCTTGGGAACAATTTCGTGCAATCGCGCTGTCGGTGTAGCGCCATCTATTGACCATTCGTGTTTCCCCTCCCTGAATGCGGGGATTGTCGGGGCTGCCAATAGTCACCGAATATACTCACGTATAATATAGGCTTAAACTAGCAAACCCGCAGTAGACTCTTAAAAAAAGAGTAGGGGGTTGTCTCCCGGTGTACTACCCAAGCACCACCAGAAGGACCCCCACTTGAATTAAGTCGTCTTCTAGACTTTCGCGTGCTATCCTTGGTGTTTACACCGAATAAATGCAATTCAATTCGAATAAAGATTTTTTAGAAAAAAAAATGTTTTTCTTTATTTTTATTATGCCCACCGCTGCCTTGAAATCTGCAAAATTAATATATGTATTTTTCTTCCCAATTATATAAATTTGAAGCATTTAAGCCATCCTATTACTACACTGTTTACATTCACCAATACAAATTTATTTTTGTTTTCTCCTCCGTCAGGATGTTTTTGGGAAACAGCTGCACCTTTTAAGAAAAACAAGGAATAAAAAGTCCCTAGAATCTTCCGACTGATATTATTTCTTCATTCCTTAAAATCGTTCGCTCTACCTGCTGTTTCTTATTCTTAATTATTAATTTATTTTTATTTTTTTTGGCAGATGAAGCAACAAAACATGACCAATGCTGCAAGACATAAAAAGTATATTGAACATTTTCCTGAACAGTGTGATTACATAATCCTTATAAAAGAAGGTAAAGTAAAGCATACAGTCAAATATTAAAGTGTCAAAGCATATGGAATCATCACCTGCCTGTTTGACAAGGGTGCATATTGATGGGGAAAAACAAGGAATACAAAGTCGCTAGAATCTTCCCGACTGATATAATTTCTTCAATCTTTAAAATTTAAAAAATTATCGTTGTCTCTTTATCTGCTGTTTCTTATTCTTATTTTATTTTATTCATTTTTTTTTTTTTTTTGGCAGATATGCAGCAACAGAACATGACCCATGCCGCAAGACATGAAAAGTATATTGCGGTTTTGTGAACATTTTCCTGAATAGTGTGATAGCATAATCCTGATAAAAGAAGGCAAAGCAGCATACAGTTAAAGCTTATGGAATCATCTGCCTGTTTGACAAGGGTGCATCTTGATGGGGTAATACAATACTCCAAGTATTGAAATATACGTATTCAATATTTCAACATTATGTCATTATCATTCCTCATGATGATGACATAATTCATGTCGAAATATTGAATCCCAACACGATGGCGTGTATTTCAATACTTGGAGTATGTATTATACTTTCTTATCTGAGATTAATCAGTGGACATTAAGGTAATACTGTACAATACTGGTTGTGGGAATTATATTTGATGGTGTTTGGAAAAAAGCAGAACAACTGAAAAGCATCTGAGTAGGCCTACCTGCTTCTACTTAGAAATTGGACTCTTGCAAGTTTTCTTTATCAATTGGGCATGTACTGAGTATTTAGTACGTATTGGTGTTAAAATAAAAAAATTGCATGCAGTACTTGGAATTCGGATTTAACACTAGCCATTTAAGCGCAGGCTCAGTATTTCAATTCCTACCCAAATTACTTTATTTGTATTAGGGAACAAAATGAGCATTCATTATGATGCCAAGTAACACATAAAATACCATTGAATGGCATTGGTACATGAAAATCGGATTTACACACTAACTACCTGGTGTCTTATCCACTAGAACACTGAACTTCCGCTTCACCAAACAAGTATTTGTGAAAGTTACTGAGCATGCAAAAATAATATCTATTGTTTTTTGCAGACGACAGTCAAATCTCTCTTCAAGATAACAAGAAACTTTTGATACACTAGTAAGTATTAGTTGAAATATAAGGCCCGTAGCCAGGGGATTTTTATGGTTCTGGAGAACCCGCTCTCAAATTTCCAAAAAAAGTCTTCCAACCCAACTAATGCACTGCAGTCTTGGCCACCAGGACTCGGCCGTTTTCAAGCATAAAGCACAGAAATCGAAGAACCTGGCTAAAGGCCTGAATATGCTGAAGCTTATGAACTTATATTAACTTTATTATCACCTTCATTTTTTCTTTTGTGTCTCTGTCTGTCTAATTTTTAAAAGAATTATATTTTTGGTAGATGCAGCAACAGAGGTGCAAGACAGGAAAAGTACTGCTGCAGAGCAAGACAAGGAAGAGAAACCTACTATAATTAATTTTGTTTGATATAGGCAATATAACTTTAGTTAATTAAATTTGTGATGCCTAATAGAATACAGAAGTTTAGCTTGAACATCTTGCTGAATATTGTGATGCCATAATCCTGGTGAAAGAGAACATACAGCGGTTGTATTATTTATGAAGTTAATGCAGCATCAACGCAACAATTCAGTGTTCTCCCGAAGCCGTTTTAGCTGTCAATTTTACCAGTAAAAATAACTGACCAACCAGTAAAAATTGTGTGTTGGTAGAATAAAAAAGCACATTATTAGGCCTAGGTTGACTAGGCTGGCCTTCTTTCAATAAACGACCATCATTCCTTTCCTGGCCTAAGCTATGATT